GCAGTGGGTTAGTGAAGTAGGCTAGTGCTGTGTGTGTGGGTGAGGGGAGATGACATAATGTCAGTGGACGATGCTCTCTTTTTGGTTGTGTAACACTCCATCGAGGTCACAGAGCAGCAGGTTACTGTCGAAATTACATGGAAATGCATCCAAGCCAGCCAGAGCCAGAAAGAATATCCACAAGATCGGCATGGAGGGCATCGACACATGGCATCAAACCAGCTGATAGCTCCACCACTGCTTAGACTTCTAAAATAGTACTGAAAGGCAGCTTTCTAATATTAAAATTGTGCATTATCTCACTGTAAATCTCTCTTTTCCTCCTCTCTCTCTCCCCTTTGTAAGCATGTGCTGTCATTTCCAGGGAGAAATGATACGATTTCCACTTGATGACTCGAAATGATTAATAAAGAATTCCCAAGATAAGCAACTACAGTGATTTGCCTACAAGCTAGAAACACAGAGCATTACGCAACGCATTATTATACAGCTGATTACCATGAGTCACGCGGGGAGAGAGAGAGAGAGAGAGAGAGAGAGAGAGAGAGAGAGAGAGTGATAGAGTAAAGGGATGAATAGTTCTGTAAGCAGTATTTAGGATGTATTACACCTTTGTTTTTTCTGCATCATCATACAATGATCAATTCTCAGTCCACTCTATCCAGCAATGTATCCCCTGGAGGATTTTACTAGATAATGACAGCAGCTTTGATGAACAGCTCTCCAAAAGGTCCTGTTGGATTCAAGATTCGTTTTATTGCCACACAACAACGTTCAGTACAGCTCAGTACTCTCTACACAGAGAGTATAGATCCCCAACAGACAATACACAATAAACGGCAAAGTCCGAGGTCCAATAAACTGACACTGTCCGAGTTGTGCAAATATAGGAGAGAGATGTCTAGTAAGTGCAAACATTACATACAGCAAAAAAGAGCAAATTGTGCAAACATTACAAAATAGTTAAAAATATAAAAGGGCTGCACTGAAGTTTATGCATATATTAAATGTAGTGAAATACAGCAGTGATGCAGTGTTGTATTTTCTACATTAAAAAAGTGCAAATATAGTAGAGTGATGCAGTGTAGTATGTAAACATTAAAAGTAGCACAAATATAGCAGAATGATGCAGTTTAATACATGCAAATATGAAAACTAGTGCAAATATAGCAGAATGATGCAGTTTAATATGTATAAATATTAAAAAATAGTGCAAATATAGTAGAGTGATGCAGTTTAATATGTGCAAACATTAAAAATAGTGCAAATACAGCCAAATCATGTACTTTCATTTGTGCAAACATTAAAAATAATGCAAATGTAGCAGTGATGCAGCTTAATAAGAGCAAATATTAAAATTATAGTGCAACCATAGTATACTCTTAAAAAAGACCGTTCTTCAAGGTGATTAAAGGGTTCTTTGCACCAATCCGCAGAACCCTTTCATGATGGAGAATGTGTTGAATATGGTTCTATATAGAACCTTTTTGAAAAGGTTTCTATATAGCACCAAAAGGGGCTCTTTCATTGTTACAAGCTTGACATAACAACAATAGAAGAACTCTTTTTGGTGCCATATAGAACCTTTTTCAAAAAGATTCTATATAGAACCATATAAAACACATTCTCCATCAATCCAAATAACTTTTTCACAGTGCAAAGAACCTTTTAAGGGTTCTTTGAGTGTTCAAGGTTCTATATAGAACTATTCTCTTTACTAAAGGACCCCTGAAGAACCATCTTTTATAAGTGTGTAGTGTGATGCAGTGTAGTATGTAAACATTTAAAATAGAGTAAATGTAGCAGTGATGCAGTTTAATATGTGTGAAGATTAAAAACAGTGCAAATATAGTAGTGATGTAGTATGTAAACATTAAAAAATTGTACAAATATAGCCAAATGATGTTTAATATGTGCAAATATTAAAAAATAAAGTACAAATATAGTACACTCTTAAAAAAAGTTCTTTAGTAAAGAAAATGGTTTTATATAAAACCATGAACACTTAAAGAACCCTTAGCATGATTAAAGGGTTCTTTGCACCGTGAAAGGGTTCTTTGGATTGATGTGTTGTATATGGTTCTATATAGAATCTTTTTGAAAAGGGTTCTGTACAGCACTCTATATAAAACCATTTTCATTATTAAAAAAAACCTCTGAAGAACCATCTTTTATGACTGTGTAGATTGAAGCAGTGTAGTGTGTAAACATTAAAAACATTGCAAATATAGCTGAGTGATGCAGTACAGTATGTGCCAGCATTACAAAACAGTGAAATGCAAGACAGATACAATGTAGTCTGTGTGGACATAAAAAATTGTGTAAATATAGCACGAACTACTTGGACCGGTTGTAGACACTGGGGCCTCTACCCTGGGAACTTTTTGTTCAAACCAGCATTTCAGTTCTATTCCCAGTAGTTACACACTAAAAATAGGAATGAAACTCAAACTTGTAAATTTTTAACATCTGTTCATATTTTGAGGCTGAGCAGTGAATGTTTCAACATATGACAAAAAGAGCGGCCTCGAATAAACACACAAAAGACAAACTTGGGGTGACATTAGTGACTTGTCGCCTCCTAATGTGAACACTGGGTAGAAGTCCTTGGGCCATTCTCCTAAAGCTACATTAGCCAAGCTCTGTAACATAATTAATCTTGTAAGCTGCTGTGGATAAGAGCATTTGCCCAATGCAAAATGTAAATGTGGTGGGACATTAAGACATTAAAAATCATGTAAATATAGCAGAGTGATGCAGTATGTGCAATCTTTACAAGTGTACACAGAAATGCTAGTACACAACCGTCACTGGAGGTGAAAAGGTAAAGTAAACATACAATTATGTTTATAATTCTGCTTGGAGTGTGAGCTGTCAGTGTGTTACTGCACATGGCTCACTGTACGAAGCTCCCACTGAGAGGTGATTTTACTCTTTCCTGTTTGAGTTTAGGTTCAGGGAAGACCAGACCATCTGTCTCTGACTGAGTTTGGCCTCTACACAAGTTCTCTTACTCACACACTCTTAGATACAACACACACACACACACACACACACACACACACACACACACACACACAAATTTACATACATTTTCACTGTCAGTTTGCTGTCCTGATAACCTACTACTATTCTAAAGATGACTCATAAGGCAAAAGACAGTGGGGAGTGGGAGGAGAGAGAGAGAGAGAGAGAGAGAGAGAGAGAGAGAGAGAGAGAGAGAGAGAGGTGGGAGGAAAGAGCTGACAAAGGAAATAAATAAAGCTAGTTACATAATCAATTCCCTCCCCTCGGCTTCACACACATAAAAAATGGAACATATTGTGCAAAATCTAACAGTGAGCCGACGTTACATCCGATGGACTAAATATAACATCACTAACCTAGCTTGGTTCTAATCTCCAGTCACTGATGCAATTACACAGGAGAGGGGAAACACTGCAATCGGCTGCAGTGCGATATCCCCAATACTAGCTGAAGCAAAATTTACTGCCAAGATAACTTGATTTATTTGTTTATTTGTTTATTTGTTCTCATTTTTGTCCGGTGTTTACTCCATCCACACATGTATTTGCGCTCTACTGATCCGCATCACATCCGACTGAAGGAATCAAGCCAGTGTGATAGCAGGGAAAGGGAGGGGGAATACAAGTGTTACACAATGTGCTGTCAATAAAGGCATGGTAACACCTTTCCTGAAAAACAGTGAATACAGTGAACACAGGCTCGAACAGCTTTTCTCTAAAAGCTGTTCTCTAAAATATATATCTTAATTTTTTATATATTTATGTTATAAGTAAACCCAAACCTACAGGCTTCATATGGGCTGCATCCACATACTGTACAAGACCACATACTATACTATACTATGCTATACTGCACTAAACCCTTTAAAAAGATGATTCTTCAAATGTTCGTCAGTAGAGGGAACGGTTCTTGTTAGAACCATACATTCTATACAGAACCACTTCATGCCTAAATGGTTCTTTGCATGGTGAATTTGTTCTTCAGATTGATGGAGAATGTGTTGTATACATTTTACTTTCTGAAAATGGTTCTATATAGCACCAAAAAGGGTTCTGCTATTGTTACAAGCTTGATATTGTGTTTTATATGGTTCTATATAGAACCTTTTTGAAAATACTTCTATATAGCACCAAAAAGGGTTCTGCTATTGCTACACGCTTGGCATTGTAACAACAGAAGAACCATTTTTGGTGCTATAAAGAACCATTTTCAAAAAGGTTAGATATAGAACCATATAAAAAACATTCTCAATCAATCTGAAGAACCATTTCACCATAAAAAGGTATGAAATTGTTCTGCATAGAACCCTTAAGGAATGATCTTTAAGAGTGCACACTATACCACACAATATATACCATACGTGCTGTGCTAAGGAATGCACTACTAATAGTGGTGCACTATTCTGACCTTCTGTTTGGTATAATGATATGCAGTTCTACAGCCTCTGTCTTTAGAGAGCTCTTTATTAGCTTTATTGATGATGATGCAACAGTTTGTTCTGGCCTTTAAAAACGTTCACTTTTACTTGAAAAAGTTCTTAAAATGTAGCCTACTTTGCACCTGACACCAGGCTTGCAGAAATAAAAGATTTATTGAACGTATATACTCGAAATAATGCGTTACTTACTACCCAGTTTCTAGAACGCAGGATTCATTGCGCTTTTCCCACCTGTTTTCCGTCATGCCCCGCCCTCCTGCGTTATGACTGGTTCATATTTCATACTCATAGGTCCAAAACAGGAATGCTTTGTGTAACCTACTACCTGCAAATCTTACTCAGCCAATAATGCGGACTGCTAGCGGAACTACTAGTCAATCCTATTTCATGGGGGCGGCGCTGGTCGGAATACGGGTGGAGTAAAAAAAGCCACAACAACGCCTACGGGACGCGTCTCGTAATTGCCCGCTCTGATTGGACGCCTGGGCCGTATAAAGAGCCGCAGTCCCGAAACTCTTCCTAGACAGCTGGCGGCTGATCTCGTGCACACCGATGCTGACTTAACGCGCGCGCCGCGACGGGACTGCGCGAGCACGTGAACGCGATCCCCAGATCACCTTCAGTCTCTACTCGCAATCACCCGCCTCGGCCAACATGAAGGAGCGGAGGGTGAGCCAGCCTCTGGTGGTCCGCTGTAAACTTGTCCTGGTGGGGGATGTTCAGTGCGGGAAAACAGCGATGCTGCAGGTGCTGGCCAAGGACTGTTACCCAGAGGTAAACACACACACACACACACTCCTGTTCCGTGCACGGATGTCACCCGTTTACGTTATGCAAAGTGTATTTTTCCCTTTTGAAAATGGAGATCAAAGTGTCTGCACGTGTTGGCTGATCAGGTGATTGTTACATTGGCTGTGCGCGCATGCACGTGAACTGATGGTCTGTATGAACGTGTCAGTGTGTGGACTGAGTGTGCACGTGCTAATTGGAACGCAAAAGGTAAAGAGAATCCAAAACAAACAAACAAACAATGCGTAAAACATCAGCTTTAACGCAGCCCGACTGTCAGCTCGTGCTCACGCGCGCAGTGGACACTACGCTATTTGCTGTCTATGGTGTTTGCATTAGAGTCTTAATGTGCTGCTCTTGTCCGCAGACTTACGTCCCCACCGTGTTCGAGAACTACACAGCCGGCTTGGATCTGGAAGAGCAGCGCGTGGAGCTCAGTCTGTGGGACACGTCAGGTGAGAAAGCTGTCTGTTCTACTACTGTACTGCTATATTTAGCAACATTTGTAGCCGTCAGTGCAGGGCTGGGCAATATGGCGATATATATCGTTACACTGATAAATTATGGCACAATACAAAACAATATAATATCGTGGATATCAGTATTTGGATGTCAGTATTTGTAGAACACAGACCAACTGCATGTTTCATTTTAAAGTGAGCAAAATTAGTTCAGTTTAACTGGATTTGGTGCAACATAGTTTGCCAAATATTGAATGAAAATCATTGTTTTCACGGTTTCTGATAGTATTTTTAAAATGGAACAATGGTTCTTTTTCTCTGTTCCAAGTAATTGGATGTCTAAAAGATTAAAGTCGTCAAATCACACATTTTGAAAATTTCATATTGCGATATTATATTTTTGCCATATTGCCCACCTCTACTTTAGTGAGTGCTAAAGGAGCCATTTAGACAATAGGCCTATAGCCTATAGGGTTTCACAGCTGTGTTATATTACAATCTTTATTATTATTGTAATTATTATTATTATTATTATTATTATTAGTGATAGTGGTAGTAATAGTAGAAGTTTTGTGATCACATATATATATATATATATACACACACACATACATATGTATATATATATATATATATGTGTGTGTGTGTGTGTGTGTGTGTGTGTGTGTGTGTGTGTGTATATATATATATATGATCACAAAACTTCTACTATTACTACCACTATCACTAATAATAATATATATATATATATATATATATATATATATATATATATATATATATATATATATATATATATATAATATGTATATATGTATATATATGTATGTGTGTGTGTGTGTGTGTGTGTGTGTGTGTATATGTATATGTCTATATATATATATCCTGGTGGGGATATATATATATATATATGTATATATATGTATGTGTGTGTGTGTGTGTGTGTGTGTGTGTGTGTGTGTGTGTGTGTGTGTGTATGTATATGTCTATATATATATATCCTGGTGGGGATATATATATATATATATATATATATATATATATATATATATATATATATGCTCTCCATTTGAAAAAAGATGCAACAGGTGGTAATGTTTTATTTGGATAGATTTACTATATATGATCTCCATCCTTCTTTCAATATGTGATCTACCATAAAATGTAGTATTAATTGAAATGTGTTTCAAAATGTTTGCTTTTAAATAATTAATTAATTAATAATAATAATAATAATAATAATAATAATAATAATAATTATACAGTATAGTTGCTGTAAATGTATAATGGCAATTATTTGTCCATCATTTTACTGCTTAAGTATGTTTACTGTTAATTGATGGTGATTTTACAACATGGCTTTATTTGTACAAGAATTCGTCAATAAAACGCAAACAGTGCAAACAAAAATGGTTTACATTTGCATGTAAATGTACTGTAGAATTTTGTTCCACCCAACACCTACATCACATAAAAGTTTAAAGAGTGTAATTTTTTTTTCTATTGCTTTATAATCAAAACCTATGTAAGTATATGCGCAGAGGTAGCCTCAATGATGTGGCAAAAGTATGTAAGATTTAATTGCAGCTACAGGAGATTGCAAGATTGAATCTCAGCAATGCCAGTCTTGGCCAGTAGATGAACAGATCATGTGTTTGCACTGTTGTGAGCTCTAGGAAGTCCTAACTAGTAGCTGTGAGTTGACTAAAGTGGGTAAAGTGGGTTGACTAAACTAGGTAAAAAGTATTCTAAGTGGGAAAGTATTGAGTGTTGTGCTCTTTTATGTTCATTTAGCCTAGGACAATTCTAACATGCTGGTTTTATTAGGGATTATTTAAAATTATGTTAAAATGGGCCAAAGCAGACCTACATATACTTGTATTTCTTTTCCCACCTTTATCTGTGCACTCTTAACCCCTTGTGCTCTATAACTGTATTTGTTTATTAATCTTAAAACGTATCATCCACTAAGTACTATGGATCATTCAAGATCTACTGACAAGTTAGGTAGTTTGCTTTAAAATAATTACAGCATAGTTGTGTAATTGTTTAGTTAATGATGATAATTACTTGCCTATCATTTTATTGTTAAGTGCCTTATTGACAAAAAAAGTAAGCTTTTTTTGTACATTACTGTTAATTGATTGTGACTTGACAACATGGCTTTATTTGTAAGTGCTGTTTATCTGATGGTGACAGTTATTCAGTGTGAGTAACTGAAGTGTGGGCTCACATACAGGGCTTAAGGGGTTAACTGTATACATCTGTTTATGTGTATGTTTTCCTTGATGATTGATAGTAGGGCAGTAGGTCACTTGTGCTCTCTGAGGAATCAGCCTTTTCCCTCGCAGAGATTAGCGTACAGAGCACCTGAGGCATGGGTTTGAGCTCATGATTAGGCCTGTGAAGAGTAAAGAGTAGCCTACAGGGGAGAGTGCAAGTCCGGTATGGCAGGCTAGCAGAGACTAGCCCACAGCACCTGAGACCCATCTCTGAGTGCAAAACACTGAGGAAAAGGAACCGTGTCTATACTCTGTGCCTGTTCTTCATTTTTCAGCATCAAGAAAAACAAGCAGAAAACAGAAAATTACACAAAATAAACAACTAAATATAATATATATATTTTCCCAGTATTTAGTGTGTTCAACTGTTGCCTTTATTACAGCTTCTGTTCTTTTTTTGGGTAACTTGCTTTCTGTTTTTTCAAAAAAAAAAAGGAATATTTTTCCACACCTTCAAAGTTCAGTCTTAGGAGTTGGTTACATTTTCTGCTGCTCATTATCCGATTTACACTCATCATGCCGTAAAACTTTACTCAGTTTCAATATTTTAGTGCACATTTTTTGTCTACTTCTCAGTAACAACTTCTTGCAACCTACACATCCTTCCAGGCCCAAATCCACTGGTGTTTGATGGACAGAAACACCTGTAGATTTTTTCAGATCCGAAACAAGAGTGGAGCTTGATTTTTCTCTCTGTATCTCAAAGACAAAAGCTTTAAGTACTGTATCTGATGGAGACAGTTTTGGTGGTCTGCCAGGTCTTGCGTGGTTGTTAGGAGTCCCATTTTCTCTACATCTTTTGATTATTATATGATATCCGGTGTTTTTGCTTCATTTTCCTTTGACTTACTCCACTTGCATAAGGGAGATCTTATATCTTATATCCAACCTCCTCAGAAATATACTGAAAATTGAATAACTTGTAGTTAATGGCTATTTTGACTGGAAATTAAGTAAATGAAACGTGATCTTTTTTGCATGGTGTTGCAGATAGTAGGTAGGCAGTGTGTGTGTGTGCGTGTGTGTGTGTGTGTGTGTGTGTGTGTGTGTGTGTCAGATTTGGCAAGGAAAAATAGGCCGAAGAGTCTTGGGCGGAGGAGAGCTGTAACTCTATTGTGCATGCCAGTTGGCCTCTCAAACCAGCTATAGGTTTTTATTTAGATCTCTCTGCTCTCTCTCTCTCTCTCTCTCTCTCTCTCTCTCTCTCTCTCTCTCTCTCTCTCTCTCTCTCTCTCTCTCATATGGCTTATAGAAGAAATATGAGAATCTAACAGTAAAATAAACAAAAAGAAGAATTCGTTTGTGATTCATATTTATCCAAAATATGACTACATTTTCTCAGTTGTTGCTGCTGCTCTCTCCGCCCAGTCTATGTACAGGGGTTCTTTGGGGCCGACAGTGCTATGCATTGTGTAACGTCAGTGATTCTGATGAATCGGTGTTAATTATCATGCCTGATTGCTCAAGTGCACTCTTGCTTTCTAGCATGAATGAGTGGGTGTTTTTTTCACTGCTGCAGTCAATCAGTGATGGCTGTGATTGATCTGCCATGCGATTTCTTGTTATGCAAAACTTTCACCACTGTTGTTTTGACTGATATCACATGATTAAACTGGAATTATCACATGAAAGTTGGACACTTTGTAACAAAAGTTAATTATGGAGTTGGATTGCATGATGAATTGGTGAATGTGTGATGAATCTATGCTCCATCCAGAAATGTGTTCATGTATAACTGTTGTGAGATTAGACACATGATGCTGAGATTAAAGTCTAAAAAGCTGTGCTACTGAACTGGACTATGCAGCTAATTGAAACTAGACAGTAACAATAATGACATGGTACTGTTAGCTGGATTACAATACAAAAAAAAAAACCCTATAATTATTTAAGTTGTTTCTGTAAAGCAAGCCCAATATTGCAACAGTTATGAAAGAACAGAAGTATGAAAGACATACAGCCTAGATCAGTTCTAGACCTCTGTATAGCACATCCCAGAGCAAGTTAAAGGGGAACCTAGCCACTTACAATTTCTCCCATTATATGAAAAACTTGATGTAAAATGGATACATTCCATTAAAAAAAAAATAAATAAAAAATCAAAGAAAACTTAGCAGTATGTTTCCATTTTTCTACAGAAAATGGGTTTAGGGCAGTATGATAATAGCATTACTGCTACTGAGTGCTGATTGGCTGGTGAGCTGTGGTTCGCACTCATTATGCTTGGTTAAAAAGTCCTATAATGCTTCAAAAACATAACAGCAGTGTTGAAATATTTTACGCCATTCTGTGTTTAGAATAAAATAGTGCATTTTTGATTAAGCATTAACAAACCAGGATTTTGCACAAAAGCTCAAGAGGAGCCCATTTATTTTGGACTGGCTCGGGAGTGCCCTCCATCATCTGACAAACCCGGAAGATGTTACTGAGTGTCAGTTCTCCTCAATACACATTATCTAGACATGCTACCAAATCATGAAGTGTTTCCAGCCACTCACAGACATACTGGTCCTTATTCATCAAAGTTACATGGAATGCAGATTTGACCGTCCTAAATGACCCACAAACTACTCTGCATCTGATTCATTGTACAATGATGAAACAAGAGGTCATTTGAATCATGGTCACTGCATGGAAACAAGTGCCTGCACAGGAGTACTTTATTTACATGTCCAAATTAGCCCTCATATACATATCATTTACATGACCTCACAAGAATAAAAAAGAGCAAAGTGTGAAATAAACAAAATGTCATTGCCTTGTTTGTGAACATTTTAATAAATCACTCGCTGCTTCAGTTATATGATTGCAGTATATGAGGTAGCTTAGTAATAGTACTTGTATTTATTCTGTATTTTTCAGGAGGTAGTTATTTACTGTATCAGCAGTATGAGGCAAACGTCTTTAAGTGGCATATTATTTTAGTTTTTACTGTTACTGCTGATATTGATGATGTTGGTAATCATTTTGATTGTTTAACTGAGTCTGATCATACATGTATGCCAAAAAAATGCATGCACTCATTTTACAATCAGATTTGACGCAACACATCTATATGTCTGCCTCACTTGGATGCACTAAAAACAGAAGAAAGCCTTCATGAACGTTGCTGGATTCCTTCCAGCTTCAGTACTGAACTCTGAGCTGGCCACACACGCACACGCGCACACACACGCGCGCACACACACATACATACAAATTTCCAGATCAATATTTGTCCAGAACATATGAAAGCTGTATTCTGATGCCCTTCCAAGTCTTCAGTAAGGCAAAAGAGCGTCATTAATTGTGCATTGCTTCATTAAGAGATGATGAACTGGAGGATCTTTGCCAGACTGGCGATCATGTAAACACACACACATGCCGACACACACTCGCTCACTAATTCTAACTAATTACAAATTCTTAATTGAATTTGCTCTTCTGTCTCGCTCGGCCTTAAACATCTCTCCATACAATCTCCATATCAAAGTGCATGTAAGATGAGCAGCTGCAGCTTGGGAACACTTTCATCTGTGCTTAAATCTTGAGAGCAATACATAGTGTTTTAAATCTGTCTTCATGTACAATAATTGAAGTCTAATGTTGGGCCAGGCTAATAGCACTTCAGTGACAAATCTTTCCACAGATTTTCCCCACAGTGTAATCAGTTTGAACTTGCTTGGTGTCCATCTTTAGTTTTGCACTGAACAAAAAACATTTCAACCTAATTTCAATCTGCTGCATCTGTAGCATATGACTAATTAGCTTAAGATTGAGTAGATAGATAATAATTGTGATGTATTTCCCTGCACCTAGAGAAGAACAGAAACCCCATTGACTAATATGCTTATGATAGAAGCGAATGGGCAGATGCCTATATAAAGTCTGTTTCAAGTCAAAAGCATTTCCATTCTGTATGCAATCAATGTTCTACAGAGATTAGGTAGAAAAATGCTGGTGTACTCTTGGCCACATGTCAAGAGGTTAATTATCTTTAATGAGTTTTTATTTTTTAACTCATGTTAGTCCCATTTAAATATTTTTCTATTTTGGTAATGGCTCAGAACTCCTTATTGGCTTATTATTCATTTATTAATCTTAACTTATTATCCATAACTTCTATGCATCACACAGCAACTGCTATGAAGCACATATGTAAATTGTGTAGTTACAAGTGTGACAAACTGAAGGATGGACTCACATACAGAGGGTTATAATTTAAAAGATTCAAGTACATTTATAATTGAAAGGTGTTTCAGGACCACTTTCATGATTTTTCTTATTGTTTGTTCCCGATATAAGTTGTTGGGTGGGGACTTTACATACATGAGAAATATCAGTGCTATATTGTGATGGATAACACCTCTACTGGAGAAATACAAAAAGACTTTTATAGTTGTGTTTTTTTTTTTTGTTTTTGTTTTTTTTAAATACATCATAGATCAGCCATTATTCTTTTCAAACCTCCTTATATCCAAAATGTTTACAGTGTTTTACATTGTACATTGTTTTACAATGAGACTCAATTATAACCTCACTTTTACTGGTTGAACCATTTTGTTTACTGTGTTAGGGCTGAAAGATTAACAGTTTTTATATTGAAAGGCACAATTTAATAAAGTGCAATTTTCAATTCACAAGAGCTGCAATTTTTTTTATGAAATTATAGCCTACACTCTTAAATATACTTCATCAATGTTCTTAAAGTTCTCAATGCTCTCAGTATTCTGCTTCTTTAGTAAAGACAGTTATTAAATATTTGGATGTGTAAAAAGTTCTCTGCATGGTGAAATGGTTCTTCAGACTGATGGAGAATGTGTTGTATATGGTTCTGTATAGCACCAAAAAGGTTCTGCTATTGTTACAATGTGAAGCTTGCAGCACTCGAAGAACATTTTGGCGCTGTATAGAACTTTGTTCCAAAAAGGTGCTATATAGAACCATATACAACACATTCTCCATCAATCTGAAGAACCATTTCACCATGCAGAGAACTTTCTATGCATGCAAATGGGGAGTGTTCATGGTTCTACATAGAACCATAGTCTTTACTAAGGAACCCTTGAAGAACCATCTTCCTAAAGCGTTTACATTAGCAAATCATTGTTTTAAGTTTTAAGAGAGGAAATTGAACCTAATAAGGGCTTGAGAGCTGCCTGTAGATGAGTTAGACCAATCAGAGGCAACCAAACCTCCATGTGTTGTGACATCAAAACCACAACTCACTGGCAGTTTGGCTGTTCAGGGGTCGAGCCTCGAGCCTAAAAAAGTGGATATTCTGGTCTTCTTGGCTAAAAATAAATCAGGCCTAAATCTTAATTTATAAAAAAAAATGCAATCAGTTGCAATAATATTCAGAAAAATCACAATCAGATTTTTTCTCCGACACGTTCAGCCCTACTCTATATTTTACAGCATATTGGGATTGATGGTGCTATATGTTTACAAACAAGTGATAGGAAAATAAAGTGATGTTTCAAACAATGTTTCTTGCTAGGGCTATAATTACTATGGCTTCTTGTATCTATCATTCATGTTAATTTTATGGAGCCCTGCAATCTTTTTTATTGATTCAAACAAAGTAGCTGGATCTATTACACCCTTGTATTATTAAATTTCTATTAAATTCTAGAATAGAACACCTTTGTCACTGTACTGTGATATTCAGTCTGATTCTCCTGCTTATGCTGAGAAAGATAAGAAAGGTTAAAATAAAGAAAAAGCGTCATTTCAGCAATAGTATCAGATGAATTCGATTATTCAGAGTAGTTTGGTTATTAATGAGTATTGTGACGTTACTCTTACAGGTTCTCCGTATTATGATAACGTCAGGCCACTCTGCTATAGCGACTCAGATGCCGTACTGCTCTGCTTCGACATCAGCCGACCTGACACTGTTGACAGCTCACTGAAAAAGGTAAGAGTTCAAAGCAGCTGTAAGTGGAAATGCCACCTGTATGCTAACTGTAACAATGTTTAGTATAAAGGTGTTTCTATGACCCTGCCTCTCATTCTGCAGTGGAAGACCGAGATCATGGATTTCTGTCCCAGCACACGCATCCTTCTAGTTGGCTGCAAGACAGACCTGCGCACGGATGTGTGCACACTGATGGAGCTGTCCAATCAGAAAATGGTGCCCATTTCTCATGAGCAGGTCCGCCACTTGCATTCTCCTATTATAGCATAAAATCTGACCACTTGTCTCTTTCTGCCCAGAGTTCTTGTAGCTACTTTAACATACTTTATCTAGCAGTCTCATAAAAGTTGAAGAAATAGTTGTGAAAAATCCTTCAACAAATTTTCCCCTTTCCCAAACTGTAATTGATTTGGACTGGCTTGATGTCCAGAATTTGCATCTTTAGTTTTGCACGGAACAAAAAAGGAACACAAAAAAATCAAATTTTTGGCTCCAGGCTTCAAAATGGCTGTTGCTATTGTTTTTAAACAGCAAAATTTAACAACTTAAGTGGTTTAAGGCAATCGTATGGCGATTTAGGCATGCACTTACATGAGCTTCCATTAGGCCAACTGCTACATTAGTCATGCAGGTCCAGTTGAAAAATAAAACTTTGCAAAAATTAAAAAAAAAACAAAAAAACTTTGGACACCAAACATCTTACTCAATCAATTACATTAAATCCTGTAAATTAGATTTCTTCCTAAACTATGATTGTAACAGTGAATAACTTAACATAAACCTAAACCTGAAGTTTAAGGTATTAACTACTTTTGGATCTGCCCATTTCAGGGGTCTTCATTAGCGAAGCAGATCGGAGCAGAGGCGTATCTGGAATGCTCGGCGTTCACATCAGAGAAAAGCATCCACAGTGTTTTTCGCTCGGCTGCACTCGCTTGCCTCAACAAGCTGCAGCCGTCAGTCAAACCCAGCCCGGGCCGGCGACTGTCCAAACGCCTGCTGCACCTGCCTAGCAAGGCCGAGCTTCTGAGCTCCTCCCTCGGCAAGGAGAGGACCAAGAGCTGCTGCATCATGTGACTCTTCACATGTTGAAACAGATCAACAGAAGGGCAGTTTTGGGGCGAGAAGAGGTTGTGACCTTTGCTGGCTCCTCGTCTCCCCCCACCACCCTCACGTTTTGCCTTCTCCATTTGAGTTACTTTTAACGTCCTCCCTCTTCCACTTAACTTGGCAGGTTCTGCTGAACTTTCCTTGTGTGGAGGTTTTTTCTAGCACACTTCCTAAAGTTCAGGGTCATTTCTGCCTGCTGACAGAAGCTTCATATGAACTTCATTTTGTACTTAAGGAACCTGGTTTGTTCATTTATGACTTTAATTCATTGTTGCGTATATGTACAAGAATGAGATTTGAACTGTGAATGCATTTGAACTGTACAAAAAGGCTTCCTATACATGGTTTGCACTTTAGGGTGTTTACTGGACCTCTGAGGTACTGCATCATTTTGTACTTTGCAACATGCCCAAATAAGGACTTTGGACCTAAACTATTTTTGTCTATGGGGAAAAATGAATGGCGCTTTTGAAAATGATTCTCTTTATATCCAGTTGTAAACAAGCCGATGCATTTTGTCCTATGTAGTTTCCCCTAAACATTCCTAAGTCTCAGAATTAGACCTTTGAGTCAAAATATGAGTAATCAGAAAAGGAGTATTTCTATATACCAGTGGCGAACCATGATCATTAGAGCTAGGCCAAGATTATCAGAGTTTGTTAGCACTAATCTAACTGTGATCCTCATGAACATTTTTGTCAGTTCTGATTAAAAACAGACATTTGAAGCTTCTAAAAGACATTCTATGTTTTTTGAAGGTTGTGACAGACATAGTAGGATATATTTTACCTTTTAGAGGACTGGGATGGAGCTGCTGCTGCTGCTGCTGTTTTCCATTTCTAACAACCCGTTGATTAGACTGCTGCTGGTATTCACAGTCATTGACGTATCTGGGATTTCCAGCCTAGAGTCACATTTTTTTGTCACAAAATTGGATCCCGCTTACTGCAAATCAAAATATGATTGGTTAATTCCTCTGTCACTTCTTAAATTATGCAAATGATTCATCTAATGCCAGGATTTCCCTTCAGCTCTTGAAATCTTAACCAATAGGAGAGCTCGCTATATATGTATGTAGATACCACAGAGACAATCCTGAGTGGCCAATTTTTTTTTTTTTTGAAATGCTTTTGTTTCCATCCAATATTTAACAATGAAACAAAAGTAGTGCTCATGCATGATTTTAAAGATGTGCCCGCTCTTTGATCGGCCATCCCAAATGTCACCCCATAAATTTCTGCCACATCACTGGCTTCCAGCTCAATATGGGGCAGGTGTTTGTGACTTTAGAGGAGAGCTGGTTCATTATCGGCAACTGGCAAAACAACTCTCTCTCCAGTCCTGCACATTTAACTGAAGTCACTAAGTTACATCAACCTAAGGCTACTATTGTAACTGTACACTGCAATACTATTATACAACAACACTAGCTTCTCATATTTGTAGCCTAAAATTGCCAAAGCCACTTGACTACCGCAAAACTTGCTAGTTTGCGTGGGATATTCTGATGAGATTGCCCGTTTTATGATGCAACTTAAACGCACAAAAGTATTAGCCTGCTTGTAGCATACATGTAGCAAAATTCATAACCACTTAACGACTCCACAATTCAAAAAATATAGTTATATTTGGGGGAAACTTACCAAGGACATAATGTATTGTTGGTTAACCACAGCACTTTTTTTCAGTGAGAAAAGAGGCTTAGAGTCAGGACTTGTCTGGATGCTAAAAGTGAACTACAAAATGATGACAAATCCTCAGGAGTCTACAGGAAACCAGATTCAGTGATTGCTGTGTACTTAATACGTGAGACAGGCCAAAGTATGATTGCTGTTTGGTTAGAGGACGCAAAAGGGTAAGGGGAGGAACCGGAGGTTTATCTCCCCTCGAAAAAGGAAAGAGCCGTTATAAATCTGACACCGGATAGAGCATGCAATCACATTTAGGGAGTTAGAACGTGTTTAAAATGCTGACTCGTGTTCTATTTCTCTCGTACTCTCTCACAGATACATGCGTTTCCCTGCTTCATCTCATGTCTGTCCATAAATCTTAGCCAGTGAACCCTTCAGAGAGGGGGCAGCCCGGCCAGTTCCTGAAATAACATAAACGAGCTAACAGTTGTTGAATTTGAATGGTGCCTGACCCCACAGCTACTGCGGAGTGTAAAGCCTGTTCGAACAGGCTTGGGACCGAGGAGTCAGGGGGATTAGCTGAGGAGACAGGAGGCCATTTCAGTCCAGCCCAATCTGATGAGAGGTTAGATAAGAAAAAACACACTTTCCTCCCTTCTCCAAGACTGCCTTCTCTTTGATTTTCAATTATTGATTAACCCTCTAAATGGCCAGGGCCCACCAGCTGGCCAAAAGGTTTATTACACACTTCTATAACCTAAGAATACATACTAAAATGCTTAGTTCTTCAAGGGCTCTTTAGCAAAGAAAATGGTTCTATGTAGAACTATCAACACTCAAAGAACCATTTGCATGATTAAATGGGTCTCTGCATGGTGAAATGGCTCTTCAATAGCAGAACCCTTTGTGGTGCTATATAGAACCCTTTTCAAAAACCATCTACCATCATTTTTAAGAGTGCAGCTCAAGCAGTTTGCATTAATGTCCCTGTAGTTACTGAAAAATAAGTGTCAGTGTGTAATAAGCCTGTGATTTTAAGGGGTTAACTCCTGAGTTGCTGTCTTTACGTTATGCCTGTAATTGGTTGATTTGGACTGTTTTGTTAGAATATGATTACGTTCTTGTCTGGTTTGAACAGCATTACTCCTTATAATCGGCTCTGTTTGGAAGGCTCTTTTGAGGTCACTTTCAGGGAAAGAGTTATGATCCATCTTTGAACCTTATTTGGGTGATCTCTCTCGCTTTAATCCCGCCACGGGATTGCGTAACTCTGTGAATCTTTTGGTCATGTAGCAATCACTGGAAAGCTCAAAGCACCTCAGTTGACTCTTTGAGATATTGACCATTATTATTATTATTATTATTATTATTATTATTATTATTATACACCCCTAACTTATTAATTGATATTATTATACATTGTTAAATATAAATAATTGCATCTTTATTATATTTAGGATGATAGTTCCAATTCGTACCCTTGCCAGGAAGTTTTAGTTTATATTTACTTTGTGTAAAGATGCAATCAGTACATTTTTTGAGATTTTTTTTTTTTTTGTGGGCTGAGGATTCCATACATATGAACATCTTATGTCAGATTGTACCTTTAAATTTTTAAAACTTATGGACATACAAGAATTTTTTTCCTCCCCAAAGAAAACCTCATTAAACCATGCACAAAGATAAACGATAACTGACTGAAACCCATAAAAAAACACAACTGATTTGACAATTCCCTTTGAAACCTACTTGTAAACCATATATTGATTTTTCTATCAATTTAACGAGACAAATGGGCTCCTGACTCAGCTTCTGCCAACAGTATCAGATACTCTGAGAATAGCATGTTGCGGGGTAAGTGTAGGCCCTCCTACTGGATCACACAAGTGGGCTTCGGTGTATAAATCTAACAGGCTGGTCCTGTCACAGAGTTTTTTCCCCATCTTTGAACGTGCTGTAATTTTGTTCATCTCTTTACTTCGTCATTCTCTCATGTTGTGTTCCGACTCTGCCTGCCCGTGTTCCTGTCTTTTGTCTATCGGCGGGTGGGGAAAGGGAGCCTCTGAAGCTGTAGACTGAAGCCGTAGACTTTGTGAGTTTGATATGCACACAGCCTTGTGCATCACCCTACACGCACTGCGCTGGAATTCGACGGTGTTGCCTAGCAACAGCCGAGGGGGACGGCATGTCTCAAGGCTGCCAGATGAAGAACAAGAAGTGAGGACAGGTTCCCTCATTGTAGCATTATACATCGTCCTACTGCTGAGGCCTTGGCTATGAAGAGTACAGAGAAACTTATGAAATGAGTTTATAGGCTGCCTCACACATTCTCGCTAAGAACACTGTGTAGTGCCACACTGACGTTATTATGGCCCGACTGACAAAATGTTTATATCAGTCAGGCTTTAATTTTACACACACACACCTTCTATTTTCTTCTTTTTCCCTCCCCTTTGGATACTTGGTCTGGATGTACATATCTCAGTTTTGTATAATAATCTTTGTACAGCCCTCCACGAAATATCTGCAAAAGAATAAGTTAATACCTGCTGTACATTTATGTGTAACGTTGTGTGCTTTGTGATTCTAATTTATTGAACAAATTGATGTTGGGTTTACTTCTGTCCACGTATTCTCTCCTCTGATAAGCTGTGGTTCTTGACTTCATTAAAAACCAGCTTTATTCTGTAAACTCGTTTTTATTGGGTGTTTGTACAGACTTGCTGCGGTAGATGAACAGATTCCCCCCTCCTCCACCAGCGTGGTCTAAGAGAGTGCTGTGCACACCCTGGTTTTGCAGGCTGATACCTTTAGCGCGGTCTGCCTCTACGCCTTACTCCTTCGATATGACATTTCCACTCACCCCAATTGCTCCCCGGGGTGCTTTAAAATGGTCCCACTGTTCCCACAATATTACTGAGATTTACGGTGAAAGCCTGCACACACTGCGCACCTCACTTATTTGCACTATGAGGCTCATAGCAAGTGCAGTAGAATAACTAACAGTAACGTTAACCTTTATACTGTTTATTGTATAAGCAATAGTCACTTGCACAGTGTAGATTTAAATATTATAAACAAGATACTGGACATATTTATGTTTTTCAACATTTTAGGTATTTTGGGAACAGTAGGTTATTATATGATAAACAATACTGTAATTGTCTATTTACATGCATGTCAAAAGTTTTTCAACACTTAAAATACAAGACATTCTGGATATTAACTGCACTGTATTCATAAACTAATTTTCAAAATTATACAGGTTTGTCAGTCATTTCTGGGATAATCCTCAGTGCTGTTCAACATTACAGGCAAAGCTTGGGTCACATTTTGTTTTGATGGACCCGTATAGATGATCTACCTATACTAGAATGTTTGTTAATAATTTATTAACACCATTATGGTAAGAGTTATATTTAGGAGTAGGTGTAGGTTTTGTGTTGAAGTTATGGTTAGAGTCTGGCTTAGATTTAATAGAAACATTCAAACTCAACTTCAAGTTGAACTGCATTTAGTGGATATTTAGTTGAATGTTAGTTAAAGACAGGTAAAGCATCTACAGAAGACTAACAAAAAGTGTTACCAAAGCTTTTTATACAGAATTAGCATATTATTCTCTTCCTGCAGATCCCTTAGGGGCCATTCCACTGGTGGAAAAGAAACCAGACTCAGATATTTTTTTATCAGAAAATAAAATAATTTCCCAGATTAACTGTGTGAAATGTTGTTGAGCTGCTAGTGAGCAATGATGGGTTGTGAAAACAATATACAGCTCTCCACAAAGACGACTGCATCAAGATGAAATGGACAGAACACGTTTTTCTTCATATCAAACTATTGTGTACAACTGCCATATAAAAATAGTATTTATATTGAGTCTAAATGTTATTATAAATCTTGACTTGCTTGCTCACCTTTGAAAACAAAAATCAAATTCACCTCCGGTTTGGTAAACCTTACATATTTCCATCAAAATGTCCATCACTGTTATTGAAAAAAAGAAACGCATAAAAACAAAAACTGAAGAACCTCCAAAATAAGACGAAATTGCATTTTATGGCTGCTGTAATAAAGGATTAAAAATTGTATAATCATTTTAGACATTTATCTGCAATTACATCAGCTTTCCATTATTAAAAACATTGATTTCAGACTTCTGAATTGTAAAGTATGCACGGTGAGATGCCAGAAGGTCAGTACTATATATATGTGAACGTGTTCCTGCGTGACTGTACTGTCATAAATATACATTAAACTGCTGAGGTTTACGAATTTTACTGGGGCTAAATACAGTGATTCATAACATCAAATGCTAAATGCACAGATTCATTCGTTTTCACTATAATATTGACTTATCTTCACATAAATGTATGTCAGGCTGCTGCTCATGTTCTGATGTAAGCAGTTCCTGGTGTGAGTTTTTTACCGAAACGCCATTAAAACCCCTCTTTTTAATCTTCTTATTCCCTGGTAACACGTGCAAACCTCTCATAACTCACTGTACTCACTCTGATTACAGAGCTGATTTAGTGCCAACAGCAGGCCAGAAATAAAGGTAAAGGAGTCCCCAAGCATTTTATTTCGAGGCATGGCTGCGATATTCACACCCAGCATTCACTCAGAGGCTTTCAGTGGTTTAATACTATGTAAGTATAAATGGCAAAAAAAGAACACAAACTGCACAAAGCATCAGCAGGAGAGAACAGGATAATGTTTGAGAGAGTTGAGATCTTGGTGAGCATAAGTGGCAAATAAGAGAGAGGCTGAGAGACTGAGAGAGAGAGAGAGAGAGAGAGAGCGCAAGAGAGAGAGAGGGGGAATTTAAGGATTTTGCTAAGAGCTCTCTCTCTCTCTCTCTCTCTCTCTCTCTCTCTCTCTCTCTCTCTCTCTCACTCTTTCTCTCTCTCTCTCTCTCTCTCTCTCTCTCTCTCTCTCTCTCTCTCAGTCTCTCTTTCTCTCTCTCTCATGCATGTGCCTAGCTGGTAATGAGCTTGGACTCTGTGATGCCATTGCGACTCACCCTGCAGCTTAGAGCGAGAGTGAAAAAGGCGGATAAGGAATGACAGAGAAGACTCATGCTCTCTGCTCACTGATGAGCCATGTAGACTTGCCCTGTCACTTCACGTGTTTGTGTTCCTGTGTGTGTATGTGTGTTTGTTTTTCTGCAGTTTCAGGGCAAAGATATCCTGGCTTTGAAAGGACAAACAGAGAAAAGCAGGACTAACCTACAATATCAGAACCTGCAAAATGGCCCTGACTTTGTAAAGTGCTTTTATTTACAAAAACTACACTACTGTGCAGAAGTCAGAAAGTACCCTTTTCCCATTAAAACGTTCCCAAAGCTGTCACTGACATCATGTTCGCTACTAAAGGGACACTAACCTTCACACAAACAACTACCCAAACTCACCTTAGCTGCCTTACAAAAACAAAGTAATTGAAAAAACAGGAGTTTCCAAAACTGGAGTTAAAAAAAAAAAATAATGAAAATGATGACATTTAACCTCTTCAACTCCTTGAGACCACCTGTGGTTCCAAAACACACTTTTTGTCATATTCTTCATAACTTTCATATTTCATAAGCTACGTTCAAAAGGTGGGTGTCGTATGAGAGCTGTAACTGTCTTCTTTCCAGTCAAATAGATGGGTAATGTCATTTTAAACCCTTATAATAAAAGAAGCTGAACTCAGTTTTGTTGTCTACTAAAAGTCGACCCATTTTTCCACAAATCTGGGCTATAAACTATAAACAAAGCGTGTCAGATTTTTGGCTTTCAGCAGTAAATTGTAAGCATATAGCAATATGTGTATGATCATAAAACACATGCTCGGTTAATTTGAGAGGAGCTTTTACCAAAAAAATAAATAAATAAAATAAAAATGTACATTTACTTCATGCAGTTACTGAATAATTTGCTTTATGATTTGGTCATGTGAATTCAAATGGAAAAACCAAAATATACCTTGGAGAATAAGAGGTTGTATAGTTATTGAGAAAATGGGACTCCAAACAACCATGCAAGAGCTGGTAGACCAACAAAATGAGAAAATCAAGCTCCACTCTTGCTTCTGAAAAAATCCACAGGTGTTTCTGTCCATCCTTCCAGAAGACAACTCAGCGCTATGGGTCTGAAAGGATGTATAGCTGTCAAGAGACATTACTGAAAAATATAGACCAAAAGAAGAAGAAAATGTGCACTAAGATACTGAAACTGGACATTTACAACATGAAGTGAGGTTTTATGGCATGAGTCTAAATTGGATCATGAGCAGCAGAAAATGCAAACAACTGAACTTTGGAGGTGTGGAAAAACATCCCTGCAGGTTTCTTTGAAAAACTGAAAGAAAGTCTCCTGAAAATATTGGAAACTGTGATAAAGGCAAACGTGAAAAAACTGTATATTATATTTGGTTGTTTGTTGACCTCTGTGTAATTTTATATTAAATATGTTTTCTATTCCTAAATATGAAAATTGAATAACTTGTAGTTAATGTTCATTATGACTAGAAATGAAACAATGCGTGTGTGCGCACATGTGTGTGTGTGTGTGTGTGTGTGTGTGTGTGTGTGTGTGTATGTTTACTCTTTGCGATTTTTGCACACAGTAACAGCAGTGAGAAGCAGACACTCTGATATAGTATCAGAGGGACTCTTCTGTCCAGATCTGTTTTAATGAAATCAGCACGGCTGTCCCAACTGAATCAATCTGTTTACTGGCTGCTCAGCCATGCAGAAAGCTCTGCAGACAACACACACACACACACACACACACACACACACACACACGCACACACACACACACACACACACACACACACGTTATTACAGGGTGTTGCACTTCCAAGAAAGATTAATGTACATAATCATCATAAATAACACAAATTAGCATAGATGATTTGTAGCCAATCACTGTCTGCAAATTCTGCATAATATCTCTATTAACCTATTCGTGTTCAACCCAACATAAATTTAGTCTGATAAACTTCTGATTGATCTAAAGTGATGAAATTTGTGCAGTTATACACTGAATAAAACATCTAACAATATCCATTTATTATTATTATTTTTTTACATGTAATGTCTTAGTTTGTTTCTTTTATTTAGGTAAAAGACTAAATTTAATATGCCATAATAAGTGATAAAAACTAGTTTTTAACAATACATTTTGATTGATATGAAGATTTGCATGGAGTAAGCTTATGAACCTATGGACCAAATAAAAAATTTCAGATTCTGTTGAGTTTACCATCTAAAAATATATTGACACTTTTTTGTTGAGGCAATAAAGCTTGTATATTCTAACTCTACTCTGACGGAACGGAGACGTGAGATAATTAAAATTAAAAACTTCATGCAATGTTTTATTTTTATTTTTAGCGTAGGAATGTTTTCGAGGTGTTTTGTACAGTTATGCTGTAGAGAAATCTTTTCTGACAATGATTTCTATTTCCCTCATTTCTAGCTCTAGGCTCATGTTATGCGATGGGGACACCTCTGAGCTCCCCTACACTAAAGGCACACCCTTCCCCCAGTACGCACACACACACACAGTGCGGGGGCATGTTGATGAAGATGCCTCGGGGGTATGTTGATGATGGATGCTCATGTTTTGGCTGTTTAATTAGCTGTCTGTGGCTACATGGCATCATGGCCTCAGCTGGAGCAGCAGCAGTGGGGGGTGGATAGAT